GTCTCACCTCTCCCCCGCGCAGCTGTCGGAAGCAGTATCCGTACCCGGCCCCCTCCTCACCGGGGGGCACCCGGGGGCTGCTCTGCGCCAGGACACGGTAGAGGGGTGCCGGGCGAGGGGCTCTGGGTACTGGGGGGGCTGTGGGTGCTGCAGGGGTCTCATCCCCCCCCCGCACCCGTTCTACTTGATGGATGGTGACCGAGGCTTCGGGCGGGTGTTGCACGTGGATGCTCACCATGGACTGGGCACCTGAGGGGGGGTTTATGGGTGCTGGGGGGGGTGCTATGGGTGCGGGGGGGGGGACACGCAGCACCCATTTACCCCCCTCTCCCCCACATTAGCAGTGACGTTGGGGGGGTCCTCACCATCCTCTTCCTCCCGATAGTTGGCCAAGGGTAGGGTGTAGACGGATTGGGTGAGAGCTTGGGGCCCCCCCGGATTTTGGGGGACCCCCCCGCCCCCCCACGTGCCGTTAGCGGGGAGGTGACAGAACTTGCCGGTAAATTCAGGGGGGCACACGCAGCTATCGGGGCGAGCGCAGACCCCCCCGTTCTGGCACAGCAGCGGGCAGACAACTGCAAGGCAAGGTGGGGGGGGGTTGGGGGGGGCACACGACACCCCAATATCAGGACATCACCCCCCCCAAATAAATCTGGGTGACGATGCTAGCGCAGTGGTGGGTGGTCTAAAAAAAAGAGTGGGGGGCAGCACCCGGATGCCTGGGTCCCCATTCCATTAAAATGGGGGGGTGTAATGATAATTGGGAAGGTGGTGTCTGTCCCCCAGATCCATCCAGGAGAGCCCAAATATCCAAGGAAAGGGGACCCAGGGGTCCGGGCGAGCACCCATGGGTCCAGGTTCCAATTTTTTTTTTTTTCTTGGGGCCCCAATGTTTATTTTTCCAAATTCCCGACGTTTTCCAAGCAGGATCCGCCGGGGCCGATGAGCTCATGGCGCTGCGTGGGTGGGATGGGGCCCCCCCCCCCCCCCCCCCCCGGCCCCCCCCCCCCTTCCCCCCCCCCCCCCCAAGTGGGAGGGAGCGGGTCCTCAGGAAGGAATGGGAGAGGGTTTTGGGGGACACCCCCCCCTAAGACCCCCAGGTTGGGCTCAGCCTGGGTGCACTGGGGGGGG